TTCTCCATAGATTTGTTTGGCGAAGGAACCATCTTGCTAGCTCTTCTTCTGTAGTAGGCTGACCAGGACCAGATAGCAAGTGTCAAAAATTGGGACAGGAGGTGGTCGGTAATAGGTGCCTATGTGAGAAAAAGACCCCAAAATTGGGACTGTCCCTATAAAATCGGGACATCTGGTCACCCTATTCTGTAGCCATGGGATAGACCTGGTCAAAAAGATGTGTCTCGTATTGTATTATAAAAGAGGTGAGATGCTAGTTCTTCCCAGTTTCCAATGGTGGGAGAACACCTGGACAATTGGAAAGTCATCATGGCTTCTGGTAGGGGCAGTCATGGTTAAGACAAAGATCAGTCAATGGGAATCTGTCCATTGACTTCAAAGGGCATTGGATTGAGGCCTCAAAACCCTGCTGGAGTTCTGTGTTCATATCACTGGCATGACAGTTGACAGAAAATCAGCAGATATTGTTGTAACGATGCTGGCTTTGGTGGGACCCAACTGAGAGAGTCAATTGGGGACAAATTGCTTAAAGCAGGGCAGTTACAGCCCAAGGCTGGGGGTTTTCCCAAGGCAAATCAAACAACCAGACAGAGAGGACTTTGGTTTTACCCCACTGGCTAACCACAAGTCACACAAGCAATTCCCTTAGACACTCCAGTTTCCTAGTATCACCACCAGTGCCACTCGTTATGGGGATGAATGGTTATGAAAACCAATGTCCCAGTAAAAGAAAAAAGATTCTCCTGATCCCAAAGGACCAAGCCCCAGACCCAGGTCAATATACAAATCAGATCTTACCCACAAATCACGCTGTTGCCAATCCTTTAGAATCTAAAATCTAAAGGTTTATTTATAAAAGGAAAAAGATACAGATGAGAGCTAGAATTGGTTAAATGGAAACAATTACATACAGTAATGGCAAAGTTCTTGGTTCAGGCTTGTAACAGTAATGGAATAAACTGCAGGTTCAAATCAAGTCTCTGGAATACATCCACAGCTGGGATGGGTCATTTAGTCCTTTGTTCAAAGCTTCAGTGTAGCAAAGTCCCTCCAGAGGTATGAAGCAGGATTGAAGACAAGATGGAGATGAGGCAATAGCCTTTTATAATCTCTTCCAGGTGTAAGAACACCTCTTTTTTCTTACTGTGGAAAATTACAGCAAAATGGAGTTTGGAGTCACATGGGCAAGTCACATGTCCATGCACGACTCAGTTTGCAGACCGATGTCATTGTTCACATTAGTTTGAACGTTTCCAGGAAAGCTCAGATGTGGATTGGCGTCTCCCAAAATCCACTGCCAGTTAAGTGTTTCTTGACTGAACACTTAATTTGCACATTTCTTTCTCAAGACGCTGACCAAATGCTTTACTAAGGCTACTGCAGAATCAAAATACATTGATATACAAGTCCACAGCCAATATTCATAACTTTAACTACAAAAATGATACACGCACACACAGAGATAGCATCATCATAATTAGCAAATCATAACCTTTCCATAGACACCTTACACAACAACCTTTGTACAATATTTGTTGCACATATATGACAATGGTTGCAACCATGCTTTATACAGTCACTGGTTATGCCAGTAACGTCACAATTGTATATTAAGAATTTCTTTAGAGCAATTGACAAGGTTTCACGTCAAAGATGTCCAGTCCAGGTAAGGAAGTATGGATGTCCGTAGTAGGCCCTGCTGGTATTCTGTCATCTCTTCTTTCCTTTACAGGACACTCATAGCTTCATTTTACTTCCTTGGTGACAGAGCGGAGTGACTCATTCCCAGCAAATAATTACTGACTTATTTCACATCATGTCCTGTCAGCAGATGAGCACTTCCTTGGATTTACTCATTATTCAGAACTAGCTAACAAATTGCTTTTGTGATTAATTTTTTGGGGCAACTTTTTGGTTTGATTGTGAGCAGTTTTTGGCAAGCGTTCCATATGCATCGTTTACTATGCGAGATGTGTCAGCTAGCTGTGGTTGCTCAGATGAGTCATGTGGTATTGTTTCTATTTCCTAACTGGAGAAGTGCATAAGCCCTTTCAGCACAAATACTTGCATGTCTATATTTAACATCTGGTTTCTGCATAAACACTTACATGTGACTTGGAAATTCTATTGGATGAACACTGTGTCAGCACAACTCAAGTGACTGAGCATTCATGGAGAACAAACACAACAGGGGCACAAGTCAGTTTTCCATGACTTCAAGGGAACATGTGTTTATAAAGCACCTGGTCCATAACTAGGGCTTTTAGGCACTACAGTAATACAAATAATAAACAATTATAATAAGGCGGCTTTTTGCGGTATTTACTGAGCTCTAATTAGAAACTTTGATCTCATACTGCAGCATCCAGCATTCTCAAGAAAGAGATCTTGGAGTCATTGTGGATAGTTCTCTGAAAACATCCACTCAATGTGCAGCGGCAGTCAAAAAAGTGAACAGAATGCTGGGAATCATTAAGAAAGGGATAGATAATAGGACAGAAAATATCATGTTGCCTCTATATAAATCTACGGTACCCCCACATCTTGAATACTGTGTGCAGATGTGGTCGCCCCATCTCAAAAAAGATATATTGGAATTGGAAAAGGTTCAGAAAAGGGCAACAAAAATGATTAGGGATATGGAACGGCTGCTGTATGAGGAGAGATTAATAAAACTGGGACTTTTCAGCTTGGAAAAGAGATGGGGAGATATGATAGAGGTCTATAAAATCATGACTGATGTAGATAAGGAAGTGTTGTTTACTACTTCTCATAACACAAGAACTAGGGGTCACCAAATTAAATTAATAGGCAGCAGGTTTAAAACAAACAAAAGGAAGTATTTCTTCTACACAACGCACAGTCAACCGGTGGAACTCCTTGCCAGTGGATGTTGTGAAGGCCAAGACCATAACAGGGTTCAAAAAAGTACTAGATAAATTCATGGAGGATAGGTCCATCAATGACTTTTAGCCAGGATGGGCAGGGATGGTGTCCCTAGCCTCTGTTTGCCAGAAGCTGGGAATGGGTGACAGGGGATGGATCACTTGATGATTACCTGTTCTGTTCATTCCTTCTGGGGCACCTGGCCCTGGCCACTGTCGGTAGACAGGATACTGGGCTAGATGGACCTTAGGTCTGACCCAGTAGGGCCATTCTTATGTTATGTTCCTGCCTACTATTGGTTGGCGATATTTGTCATCTGTGTTCAGGAATGCCTCCTACCCAATGTGTTTGTGGTATGTCGCTCCGTTACATTTTATTTTTCATGTTAAAGTTTACCATTCTGTTCTTTTTTGCTTTTATATGTTCAAAAAAATGTTTCAATGAGAAATTTTAAAGGTTATAAAGAAGTAACACACAGGATGCTAGGAAGAACACTTCCTTAAGAGCAAGAAACAAAGGGGAATCATGGGTGGAAACATTTAATGTTGGAAAGGTGCTAAAAATGCAATGGCCCAGGGTTTTCTCTCTCTTTTGTTCCTAATACTGTTGAGTGGTGTTGGAGTACTGTTAAAGAATTGCTACTTTGCTACTTTTCACTGCCTGGGGTGGTTGAATTTCAGTGATGAGGCAAGTGCTCCACATACATAGTAAGGCTTTGACTGTGGCGTTTCTAACCTCACCAGTTCATCTTCAGGTCTAAGTGATCTGTCAGATCATACTTGAAACCCTTCTGCCAGGTGAAGCCAGCAGCAACAAGGGCCAGGTTCAGCATCTGGGGTTTTTTCTTAACAATATAGCACAGAACAGGCTCAAGCCCCCACCCAGTAATCTGGGAAAATTAACCACCACCCCATGGTGGCTTTAAGAAGTAATACCTCTTCTCTTGCAAGCACTGAGTCAGTGTATAGCAAAGAAAACTTCTAATAATAATAAAAAAGGAACCCAGCATTAATTGGGAAAATGCCACAAAGGTGATTTGCAAGCAAATGACCAGGAGCAAAACACCCACCCCAGTGTCCATTGGGCAGCGTCCTTCACTTCAGCTTCTCACCCTGTGGTGTGAAAATCTGACAAACAAATGTTCCTTTACCGTGCCACTCCCCTCTCCCTCCACCGCACCTCACTCACAGTTGTCGCCCTTGGTCAGTGAAGACCCAGAGTGCACAGATGCATTTGCATGAGTTCACCTCCTTCCCCAGGGCAAGGGCAAGGCATCGAACACGGCCCCAGCGGCTGCCACTGCACCCTTCATTCTGTGTTGCTGCCCGCTCCTGCCGCTGTGCCACTTTACCACTGGCCACCGTGCCATCGATCACTCTGCCACTGCGCCATCACCCACTGCGTTGTTCAACTCTAGCCTCTGAGATGTCTTGAGGTCAGGGCCGGCTCTGGCTTTTTTGCCGCCCTAGGCAAAAAAGCCTCCCGCCACCCCCCACCCCCCCGGCGGGGAGCGCGGCAGGGGAGGGCGCCGAGCCCGGCCGCAGCCCCGCTCTCCCCGGCCGGCCGGAGTGCCGGGAGGAGGGCGGAGAGCCCGGCCACGGCCCCGCTCTCCCCGGCTGGCCGGCGCACCGGGAGGAGGGCGGAGAGCCCGGCCACGGCCCCGCTCTCCCCGGCCGGCCGGAGCGCCGGGAGGAGGGCGGAGAGCCCGGCCGCGACCCCGCTCTCCCCGACAGGCCGGAGCGCCGGGGGGAGGGCGGAGAGCCCGGCCGCGGCCCCGCTCTCCCCGACCGGCCGGAGCGAAGGGGGGAGGGTGGCGAGTCCACTGCGGCTCCACTCTTCCCAGGTGTGCGCCGCCCCACTCCAGGTGCCGTCCCAAGCACATGCTTGGTAGGCTGGTGCCTGGAGCCGGCCCTGCTTGAGGTCCCCCCACTTAACAGGGCTCTCAGTGATTTCAGCAGTTAATGCAGGAGCCTCACTACTAAGGCAGGCTAGCCAATCTTATTCACTGGAGACACTGCCCCACAGCAGGTCTAAGGTTTAGCACTTGGCTCTCAGTGATTTCAGCTCTTGTGACCTATTACAAAACAAAAGATTCCCCATTGAGTCTAATCAGCTGTCATTAAACAGTGGAGAGGGGAAGGGTCAAATAGTATCTAGGACTCTTTAGGCAGAGACATACCTATGACCACCCTCTCTCATCTCCACAGGCTTTGGCATCCCTAGCCCCTGCTTAGTGAGCGCAGTTCAGCTGAGGGTGACCACCCACAATCATGGCATGCCAAACACAGTTCTGCGGGCCTCTACTCACGCAGCAAAGGTAACAATTTATTACCCCTGCACCCAATACCAAAGTGATTTGCAATCCAATACCAGCCAAAGGTGGTCATTTGGGCAAAGCTGCTCACTTAGGCAGAGTGGGTGCGTCTATGCCAGTGGTCACCAGCCTGTCGATTGCGATCGACTCGTCGATCCTGGAGACTCTCCCAGTCGATCATGCTCTCCGGCCCCGGCGGTGCAGTGGGGCTGCCTGCTGCTAAGGCAGGCTCCCTGCCTGCCGCTGCCCCACGCTGCTCCCGGAAGTGGCTAGCATGCCCCCTTGGCCCCGCGGGGGTGAGGGGGCGGCAGGGGTCTCCACGCACTGCTCCTGCCTGTAAGCAGTGCCCCCACAGCTCCCATTGGCCGGGAACAGGGATCTGTGGTCAATGGGCACTGCAGGGGCGGTGCCTGCAGAGAGGGGCAGCGCACGGAGCCACGTGCCTCCCCAGCCTCCGCCCAGGGACCGCAGGGGCACATTGGCCCCTTCTGGGAGCGGCATGGCCACATGGTTCACTACTGGCTGGTGGGGGGTGGCCCGGCTCGTAATAGGGAGGAGATGCCGATGTGCCTGAGTGGGACCGGGGCAGGCAGGGAGCCTGCCTTAGCCCTGCTGCGCCGCCACCCAGGAGCCACCCGAGGTAAGTGCCCCCCAGCTGCACACCACACTCCAACCCCCAGCCCTGAGCTCCCTCCCAGAGCCAGCACCCCATATCCCCTCTCGCATCCCGAACTCCCTCCTGCACCTGCCCCTGCCCTGAGCCTCCTCTCAGAGCCAGTACCCTATGCCCCCTCCTGCACGCCAACCCCCTGCCCCAGCCCTGACCCCCATCCCAGAGCCAGCACCCCGTATCCCCTCCTGCACCCCAACACTCTGCCCCAGCCCAGAGCCCCCTCCTGCACCCAAACTCCCTCCCAGAGCTTGCACCCCTCACCCCTGGAGCCACTTCCCACACTGTGAACCCCTTGGCCCCAGCCCAGAGCCCACACCCACTCCCAAATTGCACTCAAAAACAAAACAATGTAAAACTTTAGAGCCTACAAGTCCACTCAGTCCTACTTCTTGTTCAGCCAATTGCTAAGACAAACAAGTTTGTTTCCATTTACAGGAGATAATGCTGACTGCTTCTTATTTACAACGTCACCTGAAAGAGAGAACAGGCGTTTGCATGGCACTTTTGTAGCCGGTGTTGCAAGGTATTTACGTGCCAGATATGGTAAACATTCATATGCCCCTTCATGCTTCGGCCACCATTCCGGAGGACATGCTTCCATGCTGATGATGCTCATTAAAATAATAATGGGTCAATTAAATTTGTGACTGAACTCCTCGGGGGAGAATTGTGTGTCTCCTGTTCTGTTTTACCTGCATTCTGCCATATAGTTCGTGTTATAGCAGTCTCGGATGATGACCCAGCACATGTTCGTTTTAAGAACATTTTCACAGCAGATGTGACAAAACGCAAAGAAGGCACCAATGTGAGATTTCTAAGGATAGATACAGCACTCGACCCAAGGTTTAAGAATCTGAAGTGCCATCCAAAATCTGAGAGGGACGAGGTGTGAAGCATGCTTTCAGAAGTCTTAAAAGAACAACACTCTGATGCGGAACTACAGAACCCGAACCACCAAAAAAGAAAATCAACCTTCTGCTGATGACATCTGACTCAGATGATGAAAATGAACATGTGTTGGTCCGCTCTGCTATAGATTGTTATTGAGCAAAACCTGTCATCAGCATGGACGCATTATTCTGGAATGGTGGTTGAAGCATGAAGGGACACATGAATCTTTAGCGCATCTGGCACGTAAATATCTTGCAATGCCGCCTACAATAATGCCATGCGACTGCCTGTTCTCATTTTCAGATGACATTGTAAACAAGACGTGGGCAGCATTATCTCTTGCAAATTGTAACCAAACTTGTTTGTCTGAGCGATTGGCTGAAGTAGGACTGAGTGGACTTGTAGGTTCTAAAGTTTTACATTGTTTTATTTTTGAATGCAGTTATTTTTTGTACATAATTCTACATTTGTAAGTTCAACTTTCATTATAAAAAGATTGCACTACAGTACTTGTATGAGGTGAATTGAAAAATACTATTTCTTTTGTTATTTACAGTGCAAATATTTGTAATCAACAATAAATATAAAGCGAGCACTGTACTCTTTGTATTCTGTGTTGTAATTGAAATCAATATATTTGAAAATGTAGAAAACAACCAAAAATATTTAAATAAATGGTATTCTATTATTAACAGTGTGATTAATCACGCGATTAATTGCGGTTAATTTTTTTAATCGCTCAACAGCCCTATTTTAAACTCCTTTACCATATCTGTTTTGACTGGAATGTGTGTAAGCTCATCCATCTTCACGAGCAGGGTTTATAAACTCTGCTAGACTTACGAAGAAGTTCATCAAAGCCCCCCAAATTTATGAAGCAATGTATAAACTCCAGTGAGATCTCCTTCTCTCTTTTTTTTTTTCTCTCTCTCTCTATATATATCTTTTCTAAAACGACTGCACTAGTCACACAGAGGGCAAATTAATAAAACCGATTTGGAGTTCCTTGACGAAGTCAATTTTTAGATAATGATGTCCCAAACATTTTTAAATGTTAAATGACTTCCAAAACAGAAAAAAACATCCATTTTTCAGACTCTCAGATCTCTAAAACGTCCAATTAGCCAGAGATTTTTCTCACATATGTCCTTCGTGTACAGGAAACCACACCGAGAAATGTAAGGTGAAAAGAAGAAGACAGTGAGGAAGTTGGGGGTAGAATTCATAACTGTGAGCTGTAACTTTAACCATGAAGTCACGGTAGCAGCTCTATAATAGAAGGTAGGGATTCAGGAGGGCACGGTAAAAATCAGAAATTTGGGATTAGGATTAACAAAGAAAGGCAACCAAACTGGGTTGGATGGCATTGGCCTGTTCTTAAAATGTTTTATATTCTCTGCCCTGTTATGACTCAGCCCCTGGCAAAATTGTTGCCTTCTGAAATTACTCCTATCAAATCGCATATAAATGTTAGTCTATTTGTGTTTAGTTTTACTAAAACTACAAACCTTCTCTCAAAATCAAATGTTTTATATGAGACTCTAATATTGGTGTACTATACAGATTTAGCTGATTATAATCCAGATCTAGAATACAAACTAACTGTGTATGAACACTGAAGCATTCCTATTCACACAAGAAAGTGCTGACATTGTGTACCACTGTATCAAATGCTTTTACGTCTTGATGTGTCCCTGCCAAGTATAACAGATAATATTTACAGAGCCTTAGACACACTTCACTGTTTAATCTTTCATGGCCTCATGTATACAGACATAAGGGTCACCAGCGCACTGTGATGAATAAATTTCTTCTAGGTGGATCTCCACTTCATCACTGTGCTCTACTTAACTGAAACAAAAGAATCAGTTTCAGAATAAACCAACAGGTATTTTATCGCAACAAAGCCTGCCCTACAGGCAACAAGCAAGAGTGCATGGTTGTGTCTTCTTTCTAGTTAGGGTGACCAGATAGCAAGTGTGAAAAATCGGGACGCGGGTGTGGGGGTAATAAGAGCCTTTATAAGAAAAAGCTCCAAATATCGGGAGTGTCCCTATAAAATCGGAACAACTGGTCACCCTATTTCTAGTCCAAGCATCAAGGGGCAAATTCTCAGAGTTGCCCACTCTCACAACTTGAATGTAATTGGTGTTTTCATAAAGCTCCACTTTTAAGTTATGTGAATATGTGAAAAACTTGGCTTTCATTTTTTTTTTTTTAAAACCAGTGTTTAGCCATGAAGTTGTGGAGAACCCCTTGACAATGTGAACCCTAAAGGCTCAAAAATGAGAAAGGAAAAAAACCTCTTGGTTTTTAGATCAATCTAATGGATTTTCCGGATCTGACTCATGATTTTCCAATGGCTGGGCCTGGCCATAGTGAAACTGATCACCTGCAAAGAGACCAGGTAGGAGAGAAATCCTTCCCCCAGGCCATGGAGAGGGACTAGTCCAGTGGTTCTCAAACTTTTGTACTGGGGACCCCTTTCATATAGCAAGCCTCTGAGTGCGACCCCCCTTATACATTAAAAACACTCTTTTATATATTTAACACCATTATAAATGCTGGCGGCAAAGCGGGGTTTAGGGTGGAGGTTGACAGCTCGCGACCCCCCATGTAATGACCTCGCGACCCCCTGAGGGGTCCCAACCCCCAGTTTGAGAACCCCTGGACTAGTCTCAGTGGCACAAGCAACTTCCCCCACTGTGCATGGGAATAGACCTGAGAATCCTAGTCTCACTCCCACTGCTTCGGATATCTCACCACCAGTACTGGCTTGCCTGCAGCCATTCAGAGACGCCCCCAGATTGCTGGACCCCATGCTGAGCAGGGTTTGCAGAACCCCTATGCATCGGCTCTACTGCTTGTGCAGCAGAAACACAAAGGTTTCTTCCACTCCTTTGGCAACATTAACACCTAAGTGCCTTGTGTTCATTCCTGTTCCCTCACAGCCGGAATGAGTGGATTACGGGGGATCCTGATGATTCTTACATAACCAGCCTCACCAGTTAAAGAGGAGAGACTAGAGCTAGGCAAAGCTTTTTGATCAAAACTTTTTTTCCAGCCAAAAAAATGCATATTTGGCAACACCAAAATGTTTTGGGAACTCGCCGATTTTGCTGAATTGTTTATTTAAGAAAAAAAACTGTTTCAACATTTGCAACACAAAACGGTGTGATTTTTCCATTCAAGATGACTTTTTGTTCTTTAATTTTATTCTTTTATTTGTTTATTGTTTAAAATTGGAAAACAAAACATAAAAATGTTTAAAAGCAAAACAAAATATTTTGTTCCGGTCAAATGAAATGTTTAATTATTTTTTTAACCTTTTGATTGTTGAAAGTTTCATAAACAATATTTTTATCTAGGACCAGTGTCTGAAAAGAAGCTCACTCTGTGGCTAAAGAAATCAAACCCACAAACATGGAGTTCCTTTCATCCTCTCTGTTATGATTTTCACATTTTACACACACAGTCTGTTTGCAGATGCCTCTTAGAACAATGTATTATTTTGGGGCTGGGCAGAAATTCTAAATGGCTCATTCTGAGAGCTCTGGATTTAACATTAAAAAAAAGCCCCAAACCCAGATTATCTCACGTCCGATCTTTTGGAATTCCCTGGATCCATTTTTACAGATTCTGGCTTTAGAGATGTGTAAGGCAATGCTCCCCAGTACCGTTCAAAACATCTCACTTTGGGTCTGATCCTTCTCTCACTGAAGTAAGTGGAAGGCCTCCCACTGCACAGGATTGGACCCTCTGCCAGTAACTTTAATACAGTCATTACGCTGGCCATATCCAGATCTGAATATGAAAACATAATACTCTACAATATGTCCATTCATTTCAGATTCCAGGTTACTGGTAACAAAACAAACACAAGCAGCAAGTATAAGAAAAGAGCAGAATTTCAGGGCCTATGAAACACTCATCAGCTCTAGGACAGGATGAGAAACCAAACTGCATGGACGGGAATGATCTTGCAAAGAATTATCATCAGGGTGTAGATATACTACAGAATTCCGATAGGTCTTCTAAGATCGCAAATATGTTGTCACCTCTGGGTAGGGTGACCAGATAGCAAGTGTAAAAAATTGGGACGGGAGGGGGGGTAATAGGCGCCTATATAAGAAAAAGCCCCCAAAATCGGGACTGTCCCTATAAAATCGGGACATCTGGTCACCCTACCTCTGGGCATGCCAATAAGATTCCACTTTACCAGGGCTTAAGTAGTCAATGTTTAGCAAAGGGACAGACCCCATATTCCCTTTCTGTCTTCTCCTTACCCACCCCACTGAATTTGATCCCTAAGCTTAAGTTGTTCGAAAAGCAATAAAACCACCCACAGACGTCCAAGGATATTACACTGCTCTACAGCCAAAATGCTTCTGAAATAAATGTAGTCAAACTTTACTAATTCTGGGTCACTGAGAACGAAAATGATGCTTAAAATTGTTGATTGGCTCTAGTTTTCAAGATATGCTATTGGGTCAGTATATACGACCCTTGACTTGGGAATGGCGGAGGATAAGTGAGTTATAAAGGGAAAGGATCTCAATTTAAACCAGAAATTACTAAAATACATCTTTGACTGGATCTATGAATAAATCTATGACTGGGTTTGGACAGTACTTACTTTTTAAGCAAAACGATGAATGATGCAATCTGAAGCTGGTATTGCGTCATACATGATATGAATTGCATCATGTTATTCCTAGAAGTCATGGATGATGCAATCATAACGAAGCTTACATCACTCTGCTGAACAAATTGCACTATATCAGCTCTAGAAATCATACAGTGTGGTGCTCTCTTATTTGTCAGTGTTTGATTTTGCAAAGGGACACATTTCTGTTTAGCCAAAGTGAGCAGAGATGCCTCGTACTTGTGTGAACAGTGCAGATAACTTCTGCTATGTTTGTGGTGAAGTGACTTTTGCATCACAAAAGCGCAGTATAACCACTATGGTTAAGAAAGCCTATCACTTTTATTTTGGCTGCAAAATTGGAGATCAGGACAAGAGGTGGGCCCCACACACATGCTGCAACACTTGTGCAACAAATCTTCGCCAGTGGTTGAACAGGAAAAGGAAATCTATGCCTTTTGCAGTGCCAGTGATTTGGAGAGAGCCAACAGATCATACCAGCAATTGTTACTTCTGCATGGTGCCTCCAGTTGGGAAAGGTGTGTCAAAGAAGAAAAAGTGGACTGTGCATTATCCAAATATTCCATCAGCTATACGCCCAGTACCCCACGGAGAAGGACTGCCAATTCCTGATGCACCAGAATCATTCTCACTTGAGTCAGACGAGGAAGAGGATGAAACTTCTGGTCCTGAACCATCAATGTCACAGGACCCACATTTTCTCCCATCCTCCTCTTCTGAACCACACCTCATAACACAAGGTGAACTGAATGACCTTGTCAGGGATTTGGAACTACCCAAGAGTAAGGCAGAGCTGTTGGGCTCCAGACTACAGCAGTGGAATCTCCTGGCAGGTGATGTTAGGGTTTCCATGTTCCGTGACCGTCAAAAGGATCTTGTCCCATTCTTCTTCATGGAAGGTGATCTTGTAGCCTGCAACAACATCGATGGTGTGATGGCAGCCCTCAACATCGTTCACGATCCAGATGAGTGGAGACTGTTCATTGATTCATCAAAGACGAGTCTTAAAGCTCTTTTACTGCATAATGGCAATGTTTCGCCATCAATTCCAGTTGGTCATGCAGTCCATATGAAGGAAACCTATGAAGGAAACCTATGACAACATGAAACAACTTTTGAGGTGCATAAACTATGACCAACATCAGTGGCAGCTTTGTGGTGATTTGAAGGTTGTTGCTCTCTTGCTTGGTCTGCAGACTGGATACACAAAGTACTGCTGTTTTCTCTGCGAATGGGATAGTCGTGCAAGAGATTCCCACTACATCAAGAAAGATTGGCCACTCCGACAGTCATTGGAGCCTGGGAGGAAAAGTGTTCAGCATCCACCACTTGTTGAATCAAGGAAGATTTTGTTACCACCCTTACACATCAAGCTGGGTCTGATGAAGAACTTTGTCAAGGCCATTGACAAAACACAAGCAGCTTTCAAGTACCTCCGTGGAAAATTTCCAAGGTTAAGTGAAGCTAAGATAAAGGAAGGTGTCTTTGTTGGTCCTCAGATTCGTGAACTTCTTCGAGATGATGCATTTGACCATGCACTGCGTGGCAAGGAAAAGGCAGCATGGAAAGCCTTCCAGTTAGTGGCAATAAATTTTCTCGGCAACAACAAGGCAGACAACTACAGGTTGTTGGTGGAAAACCCCCTCAAGGCATACAAAAGCCTTGGTTGCAACATGTCACTAAAGATACATTTTTTGCACTCTCATCTAGATTTTTTTCCACCGAACTGCGGAGCAGTGAGCAACGAGCACGGCGAGCGATTTCACCAGGACATTGCAACAATGGAGAAACGCTATCAGGGCAAATGGAGCCCATCAATGCTTGCAGACTATTGCTGGACAGTGACAAGAGATGCTCCATTTAATGAATACAAGAGACAAGCCAAGAAGCACCGAGTAGACACTGAATAGGACTAAACTACATACATAATAGCTTTTTGCCTTTTGTTTCGTAATAAATTTTATTTATATAACCCTTTTGCTGATTTTTAAAGTGTTACATAAACAGGACAGGTGAAATATTATCATGTAAAGCAACCATAAACACATGAAAAGACCTAGGTTTACAATTTATGATTAAAACTCTACTATCTACACAATATACATAGACATAAAATGTAAAAACTTAAATATCGTAGAAACAGTAGCCAATCAGTTGTTTTAATTGTCATATTTGAATTCAGCCCATCAAAATCCATAATAAATAGCACATTTGATCTCTGAAGCAGACGACTTCTCAAAAAATGTAGACCAGTGTTATTTATATAGGCTCAGAGTACATCTGAAAGTGGATCCTCTGCCTAAGGAGCTTTTAACTCAAGCAAGAGATACAACTATGTAGGAGTCAGTTGCAAACCTTACCAATATATAGACTCCCTCTATTCATAGCTCCATAGTGACGTGACAAATCTAGAGGTCACGAAGTTGGTACCTACTGAAATTACATACACCTATACAGAAGCCTTTTTTGGGGTGGATGAGCATTGACCTTGTCATTAATGTACTGCTTCCTCAGGGCTATTTGATTATCCCATCCACGTAATACATGGCACGCAAGCTTTCATTCTCCTGTTCAATTCCACGGGCTTCTAAAGAATTTTCAAATATTTAAACAAATGTTTATCTATTATTTGTATTATCATAATGCTCAGGAGCCGTACTCATGGACTAGGATCCCACAGTGCTAGGCGCTGTACAAACACAACAAAGAGATGAGGTGACTTCTGTGTGCGCATCATGTGGAGTGGAACATTGCCCTAAACGTGACTTGATAAAGCTAAATCACAACAGCTCCTACATATGTTTAACATTCTTAGTGTTGAGTATTTAGAGGTAGGCAAAGTTTCCCTCCCTTCTGGCCTCCATTTCCCTCAAAAAGCAGGATCCTCTGGCCAGATCCTCAGCTGGTAGAAATCAGCATAGCTCCATTGACTTTAAAATGAGGATCTGGCCTTCGGTGTCTTTACTGAAGCCCAAAGGACCTTCACTTTGTCTCCTTCACACTCAAGACTCGGCACTGAAGCCACCTTCTTTCTAGCTATCCAAAGGCTGGCACTGCAATCCATTGGTTGGGCTACAGGACGCACTGTTAAGTGACTTGCGCCCTTCCCCAATAAAACAAACACACTGTCCTGACAGCTCTACCAGCTCATGGAGAAAGTAAGATACTAGAACCAGGAATCAAATCTTCGTCTCCTGAACAAAGCAGTGCAAAACTCCACTTCTAGTAGGCCAGAATCATAGAAATTAGCAAAGGAAAGGATCTACTAGGTGACCTAGTCTAACTGCTCTCAGAGACTATGATCTGCAGAGAATTTGCTGCGGTTGTTACATTGCATTAAGGAAAATAAAAAGTTATTATTTAAATGTATTGTAATGAACTGACTATTGTGTATATACGTAGGGCTTCTGTTTTGGGGGGTTACTACTTTCATTTTGGGGAATTTATTTTTAGCAATTTTTGAGTTTTATGTCACTGTCCATACATCAGTTCTTTTTGTATATACTGAAATGAATATACTGCGTCTTACACACATACTGTAATACTGTATATTATATATGTCAAGGCTGTATCCCCACTTTGAACTTTAGGGTACAAATGTAGGGGCCTGCATGAAAACCTCTAAGCTTAACTACCAGCTTAGCTTTGGTCCCGCTGCCACCATCTCAAGAATCCCCTCCCTGGGAAGCCTTGAGAACCCTTTCACCAATTCCCTGGTGAACACAGATCCAAACTCCCTTGGATCTTAAAACAAGGAGAAATTAACCGTCCCCCCTCCTTCCTCCCACCAACTCCTGGTGAATACAGATCCAAACCCCCTTGGATCTTAACACAAGGAGAAATCAATCTGGTTCTTAAAAAAGAAGGCTTTTAATTAA